TCGGAATATTTAGAACCCACCGATACTTTTAATTCCTCTTTTCCATGAATACCTAATTAGTTATATTTCTGTATTTGTGGCATTTAGAAAATGGATTGTTGCACAATGACGACATCCATAACTCTTGGAAGGAAGAAATTAGGTAGTCGAAACACTTTTTTCAGTGTAAGATTTGTGAATTTTCCAGTTTAACATTACCTATCCAGGTATGCATTTTTATTTTATTTCCTTTAGAATTTTCAATGCAATTTTCAGTCCAATGTGTTTTAACATTAATAAAAAATATAATTTATACCTAGGTACAAAAAAAGAATTATTACAATACGTACCTAAGTAGGTAAATAGGTATCTACATGTAGGGGATAGGTACCTAGGTACCTATTAAACATAAAAACTAATTATTTATAAAGAAAACTGATTTTTCATTGATAAGTTTGCTCTTAAATAGATTACTAAAAAATAATATAATTAATATTACATTACTAACATATTTTTCCCAAAATTTTTAGAAATACGTTTCGAAACATTCATTTTTGGAATGTTCTATCCCCTTTAAGTTGAAACTACATTTCAGTATTGTGAACAAAATACTTATTTTTAGGATTTTTTTAATAGGTTTTTTAGCTTTTCTATAGAAAACGGTTTAATTCATTACAAGAATGTGGTAGGTACCTAAAGAATGAGGTAATAAATAATTAGGAAGGTACCTACTTATTTTACATACCTATCTACATTTTGACTTGTCAGAAATAGTAAGTAAGTAGATACCTACCTAACTACCTACCTAGTCTATTTAGGAACCTATCTACCTAAATTTATTCTTATAAAACAAAAATTATGCTTAATTAAGGGTACAAAAGTTCCTATTCTATATAAAATAAGACTATAGGTACCTAGGTACAAAGTACGTATCATATTCTTAAAGAACTTTGACTAGGTACCATGGGCGAAGTTATGTCATCAGATCTGGGGGGGCTAAAGCCCTAGCCCTAGTCATAATAGTTCTAGAGGTATACCTACTGAAGTTAAGTAAAAAAATTCTGGCGAATCTATGAAAATGGATAAAATATCATATATCGATTCTAAACAAAGTTTTGCAAAATTTCAATATTGTGAATTTGCAGATATCCTTTTATGGTAAAAAACTAAATTTTACGACTTGCACTTGGAAAATAATGAATACTTCAGTTTTGATTTCGACATTAACACCATATAGATTGCAATTTGCTGGGGACTTTTTCGCAGATTTCATTTTTAACATAAACACTATCACATACTAAGTATAAGAAATAAACAAATTTAAAGCTAAAAAGTAAGAAAAACTCGAATTGTAATTGATACAAATTAAAATGTAAACAATGAACTCGTTGCCAAATGATGAACTGATTTTAAAACAAAATTAATAAATGAACTGAAATTAAAAAAAAAATTAATATAATAAATCGGTTTTATAAAAAAGTCCTTAAATAAATATAGAGTATGATTACATATTACTATACACAAATTTTGATTCTTAAATAAAAGGTCTTATCCACTTCTTCAAGAGCTAAAATCCGACGACGTAGCGAAATTTTGCTACTTCTGGCAACACTGAACGATATCCTACTTATAGGAACCTTCTACAAATTTCCTCCAGAGGGCGTATCACTTAGCTTGAATCGCGAATAAAGATCCTTCCAATTATATCTTCTCAAGGAAGTGTAGGATTTGGAGTGGCTTCAAGTTAGGTAAATCTCCCTCTTCTATTTGATATGCTCCTAGGTATAGTGCCCTTGAATTCTGAAGTGCTACACATTTAGTTAGAATGTGAATGAAGATTTTTTCCTCCTCCTCACAAAATCTGCACATCTTCTACTACTCTCAGTCTACTAAGGTTTCATTTTAGTTGGCAATGTCCAGTAAGGATCCCAGTTACAAGTGTTCTCACTACTAGAAAAATGTATATTATGATAACAGCTTAAAATACAATCTGGCTAATGTGGAACACCCCGAAAGCCTTGCCAGACTCGTCTAATGACCGTCAGGCGCGCTAAATTCGGCACGTTCGATTACTATTCCTCTCCTCGTTTGACTACCTGGCTTGTCAGGTCCGACCAAAATACGGTTTTATAACCGAAACAGGAACCAAATTTCGGCTCCTTTCTTAGTTTCGGCCGAAACAGAAACAAGAAATTTCTTTTAAGGCAATCTCTTATTGAAATTTGCAATATCTCATTGTAGTCCTTGTTTTAGACTAATTAACTCGTATTATAAATTTTAGCTACATTTACTTATTACCTGTTTATTTATGTGATCAAAAAACGGCATTAATAAATTTATTGACATGTTCACTTGAAACAAAGCAGAGAAGTTTGTGTGTACGTGCACTGTGTAGGAATGGCACCCGGCACAGTCGCCATTGTGCCGGACACTGTGATACGAAAACTTTTAAAAGTAGTTTCGCTGTCGGCTGCAGTTTCGGCCACTTTTCCGCCGAAACCGAAACTGTAGTCGAAACTATTATTTAAAGCCAAAGTTGGCCGAAACCGTAACCGAACCTTCGGTCGGACACTACTTGTCAGTTTGGCAGGCCTCCGTAATTGTAATTGTCAGCCAGACGTGTATTTTCACTTACGAATATTTTGAAATTTATCCTAAGTAGATGGATAATGTTCTTAAAATATGCGTGAGTGTGCAAAAATTTACTGATAATAATTTAGGCACGTTTGGTATTGGGTAAGAAAGTTTTACACCAAAATATCCAAATTTCAAAACTTGACAGACATGCATTAAAACGACTAAAATCAAATTTTCAAAGGTAGCCATACCACATAATATAAAACATATGTTTTATATGCTGTGGCCATACCATGATCATTTGTCATATTTGAAGTCGTTTAGTTGACGCGAAAAACCTATTTATTATTTTACATAAAATAAATGTAGTGTATTTCTACCTAGTTATAATTGGTATTAAATATAGTATATTACATTACGAGTGTGGAAAATCACTTTTCACACAAGTGATGTACAATATTTTTTCTACGACCACAGAATAATGTCTTTAAAAAAATTTAAAAGCAAGGTTAGTATTACTACCTATAATAATTAAAATGAATTTAAAAAATAATCAACAATAATCGTATTTATTCAATTTTCACATTTTCTAAACAAAAAAAAACTAAAAAAAAAATAAAAAAAAACAAAAAAAAATTCTGCCCCGCTAGGATTCGAACGCGGTCGAAAAATGGCAAAGTTGATAAGTTCGACGTCCTAACCACCTGAGCTAATAGCCCTTGTGTCAATTGAATGATCGAATCGGTCATGTATTTAACCAGAATAAAGAGCAAACATTATTTTAAAATTATTTTAATAATAATTGTTCAAGATAAATATCTAGGATCTAATTTACAACGATTTCAATAATTTAACAATCATATCGATTTTAGTATTAATATGGACATTACATAGATCAAAATAGAAATTAGGTGTTTGACATTTTGTGACAACTACTGACTGCGGAAAGTAACATATTCTCACTCGGGTGGAAAGTAAATTCTTATTCATACGCGTGTGATATAGGGCACTTTCCATAGGACTATATAGTGTGATATGTGTCACTTTCCTAAGTGGTCGTAGGAAAAAATATTAACCACTGAAATGGCAAATTTTTTATATGCATGAAAGAGCTGCTCAACTGACAAAAAAATGTTCAGTATAATTTCGTTCAGGGTACCCACCAAAAGAAAAATTTCCGGAAATTTTTCTGGTTGTCATGAAAGTGTTTTAAAATAACAGCAGTTGATTGGCTATAAAATGAAGGTGTAAAATTATAATTTAATCTATCACGTGACAAATTTTCAAACCCGGGAAAATAAAAGCAAAAATATTATATTTTTTCCATTTAGAAGATATTACCAGACTTATTAGCCAATTTCGTAAATCAGCCAGACTTATTATTATAAACAGTTCATGATTGTATCAATTTATATGCTCAATTTTCTGCCACACTCACTTTCCACTATCTGAGATAATCCAAACTGCTATTTTTATAAGCTTTATGTTCTAGTTTAGTAAATGTAAAATAGTTATGACTGGGAAAATAAGTGTCAGACTCAAAAATTTTGTTTTTTGTCACTAAGAGAACAGTTTATTTTTCATATACGCCGACTGCAAAAATGAATACGAAAAAAATTCACTGCCTCCTGAACTAAATGTAAAATTGCAGAATCAATCAAATGGCACGATTCTTTTTATTTTTTAATTTCTGTTCTGAAATCTGAAATGTTTGGGTGGATGTGCGATAAATGTTCGAATTATTTTTGGGGGGGCTAATTTGGTTTTTGGGGGGGCTTAGCCCCCCCAAGCCCCCCCTTAACTTCGCCCATGCTAGGTACCTAGGTACCTACTCTAGGTACCTACTCTAGGTACCTAGGTAGATACCTTCTACTTTAAGGAAACTTTATGTCTACCAAATAGGTAGGAATGGGGGTATTTTTTATGAAAATTTCGATGGAAAGTAATATTGGAAAGAAATAATAATTAAATTTGACTTTTAAATATTTTCTATCCAATAACCTAGGGATGGCATTGAAAAACAACAACCCCACAATATGATTTTTTCCAAACTTGTTCTGGTCTATCCTCTTTAAACTAACAGTCTTCGTTTCATCTCACTCCAACACACGCCATTGGGATCTAAAAATGAAAAGCGAATACACTCAAATGGATTCGAGCGATTGTGAACTCTTCGAAATACGTCGTTTATTTGTTATTTTAATATGGATGCGAATAAACATAAAAATTGTTTAATTTTTTCGTAGATATTAATTCTAAATGATTAATTATTACGGTTTATAATGAAATTAAATGTTTTTTAACAAAATTCACCTTTACATTTACTTTAAAAAGAAGCTGGATGACGTGGCTTTCATGGTTGAAGCAGCTGCGTCGCGTCGTTGATTATTTTGTTACTCTCTTTCTCTACACAGGCGTCCTCCCCTTGTACTCGCAAAGATAGACTATCCCGGACCTGTTTTCGTGCGATTCACGTTAAACCTAAACCAAGATGTCGAATATGGCGCTATAGCAGTTGAATTAATATAGAAATTGTATTTTTTAGTCATAGAAAATACACGAAGTTCGGGGTGTTTAATTTTAAAAACGTTTTTTTGTGATAAAATTAGTGACAAGGTGTGTTTTGTTGAAACGACGCCAACTGTGAAAATAACGGTTCGAAATCTACCACGTTTTTAAATTTCAACACGTTTTTCCTTCATTAATTTCGCTGAAATTGTGATAAAATGCTTTCGTTCATAATTTACAAAGAGCCGTGATACTGGGTTTCGATATTATACGTGGCAGAAAACGAAATTTCCAACGCATAGTTTCTGTGTTTAATTTTGACTTTCTCACTTACCAAATCACCTATAGTTATTTTTTTGTTAATTTTTTTTCGAAGAAAATGTGCGTTAAATAAGGCTGCATTAAAATTATAATAATTTGTAATAAATCGAAAAACGTAAACATTAAAAAAATAATGATGGGAAAGGTAAATTAACAATAATGTGAATGTCTGCAGTGTTGCTGTGAGTTTCCCTTAAAAATTGTGCTTAAATGTGTATGCTATGGAAATTCATTCCATGAGGATAAATGATCATGGGCCAGTTCAGACTAATACAATGTCATACCCTCAAAGGCAAACTCAAAATCATAGGTAAGCGAAAATTATATTTTATTTTCTACATAAAACTACCAAATTATTAGGCCATTTAGCGATATAAGGTTTTAACCATATTATTTAGATTCAATACTGTCGATAACACCATCAGTTTCGAGTTAGTTAGGCGTTGAATTAAAAACAAAGACTTCTAAACTAAGTACGTGAGTATTTGTGGTGAAATATTCTAGTAAAAGCTTACTATTCCTAGTTTATTTGATAACTTAGCATATACCTACCTTATTTGCCTACGTAAATGCTTGAAACTTGGAATAATAATTTTTCTTGTGAAGTTTTTTTACCAAGTATTGCAATATGCAATAAACATTATCAATTCTTCCCATTTCTGCTGGTAAATAATTATTTCTAACTTAATATTAGGTATGTAGATTTTTTTTAGACCTAATCACACTGGCTTAGGTTTTTTCTTCAAAATTAAGTACCTATCTATCTTTTAAGTAAATTCCTATGATGATTTATAAAGAAAACATAACTATTGATTACTAACTATTCTAAAAGTCCACGTACCTATCTATACCTACCCTACTTGCCTATGTAAATGCTTAAAACTTGTTTGTTTACTACATATTCTACTATCGTGCTGTATTATTTTGATAATTCATTAAATATCTACCTACCTATTGGAATAATAATTTTCCTTGTGTAGTTTTAATAAACAAGAAAGTTTTTATTAACCTGATTACATTTTTTACCAAAGTATTGCAATATGCAATCAAAATTACTCAATTCTTCCCATTTCTGTTGGTAAATAATTATTTATATCTTAATCTTAGGTATTTATAATTTTTTTTTAGACCTAATCTACACTGGCTTAGGTTTTTTCTTCAAAATTAAGTACCTACCTATCTTTTAAATAATGATTTATAAAGAAAACATTACTACCTACTTACTTATTGATAAATAACTATTCTAATAGTCCAAAAAAATGCATTTAGGTATAATTTTTCATTTGAAGTACCTACCTGTTTTTTACAATTACTAAGTACTTATCTTTTTTCGTCATGTACCTACCTATTTACTTGGTTAACTTAACACAATTTTCTTTCCCAATTTCTTTCCCAATTTCTTTTATAGCTATCCTATAGGTACTTACCAATTATTTTTAAATTTATTTTATATTAAGTAGGTAAGTACATTTCCAATTGCATATTTTATGCCAAAGAAGGCAACAAAGCACCTCGGGAATTTTGAGTTGAAACATATGTCACATTTTAAGGCTATTTTCATGCCCTATTCAAAAATTTTATGCTCCTTGTTTTTTGCAAAAATCAAGGTGCTCTGCTAGCTTCGAACAAAGTCAGCAGAGCACCTCAGTTTTTTAAAGCTTTTTTCCAAAACCAACCACACCATATTTTTATGCTATTTTTAGGCTCTTAGAATATTATAAAACTTTTCGAAAAATGTTGTTATTTTAAAATATATAGGGTGCTTTGCTAGCTTCGAACGAATCCAGCAGAACATCTCGGTTTTTTAAAGCTTTTTTTCTAAAAACAACTACACCACATTTTTAGGCTATTTTTAGGCTCTTAAAATATTATAAAACTTTACTAAAAAATTTGCTATTTTTAAATAATAGAGGGTGCTTTCTTGGAGCAAAGTCATCAGAGTACCTCGGTTTATTATTATTTTTTTCAGAAAACTAGTTATGCTACGTTTTTAAGCTATTTTTAGGCTCTTAAAACAATATTGACTTTTCAAAAAAAAATTATTTTTTAAAGAATACAGAGTGCTTTGCTAGCTTCGAACGAATTCAGCAGAGCACCTCGGTTTTTTAAATCTTTTTTCTGAAAACAACTACACCACATTTTTAGGCTATTTTTAGGCCCCTTGAAATAATATAAATTATTCAAAAAAATGTTTATTTAGTTTCTTTTCGCAATCATGAACATATTTATGACATAACCAGTTACATAATGTTCAACTTTGGACATTCGCTGCGATTACAAAAATGTCACTTTGTAAGTCAAATTAAAAGAACATTTGTATTAAATACTTATTAAGGATCCTGTGGTGCGAAATTCACAGAAATTTTTTAAACACTCAAAAGTAACTAGTTTCTACAGTAAATTTACGAAAAAAAAATTATGGATGAAGCAGTATTTTTCGAAAAAAATTGAATTAAAAATCCCAACTTTACAGGTTATAATCACAAAACAATTACTCTAAATGACAGTTTCTGACGTTTCTGTCTTAAAAATAACAAACGTTGCCAAGTTGTTAATAAAAAAGTTTAAGGATTACCTATTTAAAATTTATAATCATAAATTTTTCGTTTGCTTCAAAAAGATAAGTACGGTAATAATCGAATATACAGGGTGATTCACATAAGAACCGACATAGAGCAGGGGCATATAGGGGGTCCCAAAATATGGCAATTTAACGCAACTTACCTCTATACCAAGTTGCTTCCCTAAGGAGCTATAGGCTTTGAAAGTGAAGTTATAAATTTTGAAAAAAATCAATATCTCCATTATTCTTGAACTTAAAGCAACCAAATTTAGTACACTTTGTGGATGTATTTAGGGCGTTACTTGACAGTAACTAGAGTTTAATTGAAATTTGTAAAGGGGGTATACTGGGTGGCGCACCATTAATATTCAACAGAATTTTGTTAACCCTTGATGGATTTTAAAAATCTTTGCTTTGTTTTGTGGGCAATTCAATTCTTAAACTTTTCTTACTCTAGTAATTTTTCGAAAAAACTCATCATTTTCATCAAAAACGCGCGCTCTAGGTGTGTTATTTAAAATCATCGAAAATTCAAAAGTTGGCTATGAAAATAAACGTCAAACTTGACAATGAAGCAAGTAAGTTGTTCAATTAAGTAATTGTTGTTTGAGTGTTTTTAAAATGAACGGGAAGTTTTCTTTTAACGAGCAAGTTGACATGCTGTTAGTGCTAGGTTTTTGTGAAGGAAACTGTAGAAGAATATCGTAGAAGATTTCCTAACCGTATCATTCCCCATAGAGAAACATTTTCTAATGTTGAAAGACGAGCTAGAGAAACGGGCAAGTTTCTCAATAATACTCGAGAACGTGCTGTCGCACTCAGGCCACAAGTTGAGGTAGCCATTTTAAATGCTATTCAAGATGATCCACATATTAGTACTAGGAATTTATCTCGACAAATTGGTATATCGCAGAGTTCTGTGCATCGAGTTATCCGTCGCAATCTACTACACCCTTATCATGTACAAAAAGTCCAAGAACTTTTACCCGGAGATTTGGTTCAACGTGTCAATTTTTGTCAGTTTATTCTACACCAAGATAATAACTTCCAAAAGAAAATTCTTTTTACGGATGAGGCGACTTTCACTCACAGAGGTATCACAAATCTCCATAACTATCATGAGTATTCTGACGTAAACCCACATGCAATAACTCCTCGGCATTTCCAACGTGAATTCAAAATTAATGTTTGGATGGGAATTATTGATCGATATTTAATTGGTCCTGTTGTTTTACCGAATCGGCTGAATGGTGAAAATTATTTAGAATTTCTACAAAACACCCTTCCGTATCTACTTGACGAGGTACCTTTACAACTAAGGTTGCAACATTGGTTTATGCACGATGGAGCACCGCCTCATTTTAGTATGAACGTAAGAAATTTTTTAAACCACCAGTATCCCAATAGATGGATAGGAAGAGGAAATAATTGCCCACAACGTTGGCCCCCAAGATCACCTGACCTGAACAAATGTGACTTCTTTCTGTGGGGAACGTTGAAAGAATTTGTGTATTCTTCGCCCGTTGCGTCTCAAGAAGAATTATGGAATCGCATTATTCATAAATGCACATCTATTAGGAATAATCAACAGTTATTAGATAGGGTGGATTTTAATTTTCGAAGAAGAATAAATTTATGCGTAAGAGAAAACGGCGATCATTTTGAACAATTTCTTTAATTTATCGATAAACAATTGTTTGTTCTGGTTGTTGTTTAAGTTTTTTGTGTTTATTTTGGTTAGTTGTTAATCCCAGTTTTTCACATTTCAGTATCTGTACTTACTTTAAGTTATTTTGTTACGTATCTAAATAATAATTTGCCAGCCAATTCCTACTGATCACATTAAATGACCTACTTTCTTGTTTGACGTTTATTTTCATAGCCAACTTTTGAATTTTCGCTGATTTTAAATAACACACCTAGAGCGCGCGTTTTAAGTTATTCGAGTTTTTGATGAAAATGATGAGTTTTTTCGAAAAATTACTAGAGTAAGAAAAGTTTAAGAATTGAATTGCCCACAAAACAAAGCAAAGATTTTTAAAATCCATCAAGGGTTAACAAAATTCTGTTGAATATTAATGGTGCGCCACCCAGTATACCCCCTTTACAAATTTCAATTAAACTCTAGTTACTGTCAAGTAACGCCCTAAATACATCCACAAAGTGTACCAAATTTGGTTGCTTTAAGTTCAAGAATAACGGAGATATTGTTTTTTTTTCAAAATTTATAACTTCACTTTCAAAGCCTATAACTCCTTAGGGAAGCAACTTGGTATAGAGGTAAGTTGCGTTAAATTGCCATATTTTGGGACTCCCTATATGCCCCTGCTCTATGTCGGTTCTTATGTGAATCACCCCGTATAAAATAAAAAAATTAATATATCAACCAAATTAATTTTAAAAATGCAACTCAAAAAAATTACATACAAAATTAAAAAGTGAAATTAAATAAATCACTTAACATGTAATACCTAGACAACTTTTTTAAAATTTTCTTTCACTCAAAACGAAACAACGACTTCTCGTAGGGTGGCGGCTTCGCCGCCACCAAAATTTTTAACTCATACCTGGCTACGCCTACCGGCATAGACTCCAACGGCCTGAACACAGCTCAAATTGAAATAAAAAGTCTCACATAACACATTATATTTTCACCTATAACTTATTTTCTTCTCATTCAAACAGAAATCTTAAACTTGGAAATTATCAGTGATAAAAATCAACAATATAGTATGGCAACGTTGCAA